AAAACTTTCATGTGATTGGTTGTTTGTTTGAAGGCAAGGCCTTGGAGTCTCTTATACTGATTGTAATTGGTTAAGGAGTGACAAGAAATAAAGAGTGATTTAATGCTGTCTCGGGTGAAAACCAGGGACTTGGCAGAGAATCGTTGGAACATGAATGGAGCTTGTGTGTGTTTCTTGTGAGTCTAGCGTGGAAAACGACCGAATCCCGGTTACCTAAGTGAAAGGTTTTTAAACATCAAATTTACCTATCACAATAGTATGGTTATTTTCCTGATTTGTTCATCTGTAATCAGGAATGTTTACCATCAAATATAAATAGAGAGTCACCATAATCAGATTGTAGGGCATTTTGGGTCCAAAATGAAGTGAAAATAACATGGTTTATCTATTTTACAATTGTTTCCTATGACTGGGATATATTTGAATATTCACATTTTGGCATTGGGCGACAAAATAGTATATAGGTATTTTTTTCTCATTTAGAAGAGTTCAGTAAATACAAAATTATTTAAATTTATTTATAATATTTCGGCGGCTTTCGTCTTGCGTTTAATAGCATTAAATACAAAAACGCAGCTAAACTGCAGCTGCTGTAAAAGTACATACTATTTAGTTTTGAGTAATTCATGAAATGTGTTTACAGTCGGTTAAGAAGTTGTGTGAGGTATACAGATATCTGATATAATTATACAAAGTGCAAAGTTATAACAATATTGCAAAGATCAGGCGTACGTTGTATTTTTTTGTCTGTATTTTTTTTTAATTTTTTTTTTTTTTTTTTTTTTTTTGCATTTTTACACACAATGCAATGAACATCGTAGCCGAGCTAATAACTGCATAAAAGTTGGAATAGGAAAAGAAAAAATATTTTTCTGGTTATTTAATGCAGCGTATCACTGTGCATAATTATAGATAGGATTTCTCCCATATTCTCCTAGAATACTACAGTCCTACTGTTCTCCTGAGATACTACATCGTTTCAGATGTTTACGTTTCTAAACCCCCAAATTGGCACCATACGTCAATATTGATAGTACCATAGTATCATTGTATCAAAGACCTTACATCAGGGTTTCTAATATAGAGGGCGTACCAATTTTAAGAGCTTGAGGGGAACCCGCGAAGAAAGCTCGTTTTCGATTGTCGTGATGTAATGTTGTACCCACTGATAATAAGTCTATTACAGGAGAATACGATTCATAGGTATTGGTTATATGAAACCGTGTTTACCTCCACCCAATTCTCTTTCTTTGATAAATGTTTTCCGCCTTAATAAACAACGATTATGGTCGTAACAGACATACCCCTGCGCTTAAAATACAATTCGAGTTTGTCTAATAATCTCTGTAGCCCAAGTCATAACCTGGTAACTTTGATCGGTTTAATGCTCTCAATAATTTCTAATTTTAATTGGGCGATTCTAAATTCATTAGCGGTTCCCAAGTAATTTTAACAAATAGCTCTGATTTACAAATTCGTTACTTGTACGTTCAATAAATCGATTTCTGAAATAACCATGCCATTGATTTGATTGTATCCCGGCGGAGTACTATTAATGTTTGTACTATAGTGTCTAATAATTAACCAAAACTTTTGGGTGACGTAGATTATTCGCTTTCCAAATATTCACGTTTTTGGCCTTGCATAAATACTTAAATTGGTTTCGAAATCTTTATATTCGCGAAGATGATCCTGATATTCGCGAAGATGATCTAAATTACCTGTGTGGTTAAATGTTTTATATTGTGCTCTTTTGTATGCAGTCCATTCAGTATCAAACCATATTAGTTTATTGCGTAAACACCACAAAGGTGACATCTTTCTCTATATTTCTCTAAACAGCTGCCCTATGACTGATAAAAATCCACAGAGGTGAAATTGTACAGGTATACGCTTTACATATCTACATTTACCGTCCTTATTCTACAAATACAAATCTACATTGAAGATCTTGGCCTTGGTCGATGAAAACGTATGACCAGTAAATGGGTATAACATTGGTCATGATGTTTTGGACACGTTTCTGATTAATTATTTGGCGTAATTATTTATATAATTGATGAATTCAGATGAGTTAAATTCATCACCAAATCTCTAATTCATTAAACAATTGCCGTTCTACTTTCTGTCGACATTTCCGGATTCCAGTTGTTGTTGTTATTGGCTAGCAAGGTTTGTGGGCGAGTACTTGATCTAATGGACGACAAGGGTGCTGCTCAAAAATGTCCCATTTGAATTATAAAATTATACCCTCAACATTTTCCATGAGAGATCGTTCTGAAAAAAGACACTCCTTTCCTAGTTAACTAGGTATTGTTGAGAACAAGGAAACTTGTAAACGGGTACTATTTGAGACAGAGTACTTTCCTAGTAAATACTGAACAAAAACTATCGAAGGTTAGCAGACTGTTTGAACAATAAAGACGAGCTAAAAATTAATATTACCTCAAATATCGTAGGATGATTGGAATCAACTACATCCAACCGGAATGTTTCAGGTACACGATTACGCATTTGTATGCAGTCTATCATAAAAGCTGTTGTTGAAATCGATGTGATGTCGTTTCTCGCGAAGAGTTTCCCTAGCTGCCATTCAGCACAGTGTATTTCATCAAAGTGTGTCCATTTTACTGCACAAGCGCGTAAAACCACACCCAGCCCACTCCTCTACCAAAGTTTCAACAGCATTCCCTATCTTAGGTTGAAAACGTGTGTCGAATAATGTTGTTGTTCTCATTGTCCCCATTGTCCCGTGTTTTTTTAAAATGGGGTAGCGGCGGCAAACACTTATTATACACATTTAAATACACCGTATGCACACAGCTATAAAACTTATATTATTATTATTACAGAAAGCTATACACGAAAACACCATATGCTAAGAAACGAATAAGAGTTTTGCGAAATATGGTTTAGTCGTTTTCTATATTTAATGTTTTATTACATTCTTAAAATATATGAACGTTCATTTATTTCAACAAAGAATTCGTGCATTTAATTGTATTGTCACAATGTTAGCGTATAGATCACCATGGTTACTATATATGGAACGGTCAAATCACATATAATCGAATATTTATTTGTTGCACAAATGCACGTTAAATTACGCCATTATGGCGTATGTATTCCAGTTCGTGAAATGAACATGTCTATCGCGTTCATTTTGACTTATTTGCTTGATTTCATCAAATTTGTTTAAAAGTCTCCATATGCGACTGGTCTCCCCAGTATATACTCTAACTAAATTATTATAACAGTAAGAAATAAATATCATGGAAATGCTTAAATCCCTGGGCACAAAATGCCAAAACCCAGCATTATTGTTTACCATATTATTTATACGGTTTATATCTAATATGAAATTATGTCGATTTGGTCAAAACAAATATAAAGAATTATGAAGAAATATACATTAAAATACGCAAAATGTTAATGGTGGTAAACGAAATAAATATGCAAATAACATATTTGTCAAATTTAATTTAATTCGATAGTCGTGTGATTGAACGAGAATACTTTCGAGGGATATGCAATTTTCGGGATTCTGGTTCACATCACATTCTTCCGAT